CCTAAGATTTCTTATCAGCATTTGTCAAAACGTAGTGTTCGCTGTGTCTGAACTGTCGTTAAAAAGCATTAGTCAGTACTTCGCAATTCCTTGAAACTGCGGTACCTTTTCCCTGGAACAAGGGAAGGCTGCCGCTCTCTTTTTGTATTTAATTTCTGTTTAACAGTTCAGGAAGCTTTTTGTTTGGGTGGTTTTTTTTTGTTGTTGTTGTTTCCTTTAATGCTTCGGTAGGAAAATTTGGCCCTGTATTGTGAAATAAACCAATGCTGAAACTTTATGATGGTCGTTAATTCCAGTTTGTAGATTCTTTTTCAGACTTCTGAAATTATTCGATACCAGCCTGGGAGTGGCAGCAGTGAGCATATTGCAAAGCATGTCAGTTTTTTCAGGCTTGACAAAGTTACCCTAGTTATCTTCCCCTTTTTGCCTATAGTCATTTATGTTTTCTGAACTATACACAGTATTTATGATAGAAATATCATAGACTCGGTGTAGAGCAGTTACTTTTTTTTTTTTAAAAAAAAGTATATATATCTCCATACAGAACAGATTTTTGCTGGTCTTTGTCTTTTCTTAACGTGGAATGATTTTGGTTGCTTCCAAGGTGTTTCACCAGACATTTTTGAACTCTCTTGTTCAGATGGCCCAGACAGATAGTCTCCTCTGCAGGACTGTGTCGGTTTGGAAGTAGAATTGACTGCTGCTGGGGCTGGGCCCGATTGTCCTGGGGACAATGCCAACGTGAGTATCATTGCTGCTGGGGCTTCTAGTCACTTGTAGAAAAGGCTTGTACATACCTAGTAACATCTTTCACGTGCTCACACACGTTCTTACAACGCAGGGCTTAGGCTTTCACACGTGTGAGTCCAACTTACTTATCAGGATGTTGTCAGGTTAAAATTCTGTCTGTTATTAACAGTACTGAAAATGATTGCAATCAAGTAAGGTAAACTTCAGTTAGGGCAATGAGAATTTGGGAATTTCTGTTTGGTTTCCGCTTCATTTCGTGCTCTGATCTAATAGCCTGATGTACCACTACACTGTGTCATGTTACAGGCACTGCAGGGCAGGAATATTTGCATCCAAGAAGGAAACCCAGATTATTGACATTTAATTTAGAAAGTCGATGGAAAGGTTCAAATTGGTATTAAGTTCAAACATTCTTTCAGTAACCCCTAACTAAGGGTATAAATACGCTTGACAGCATCCTTTTTTTGGGTCACACGTGAAGAGAAACGTCCTGAGATTCTCACGTCTATCTAGCATCTTTAATATAATTGCAGGATAACCAAGTAAATAAGTCTTCATCATTAACTACAGATTCAAAAGGTATTCTGTGGTGGCAGCTCACACTGTGTAGAAGTTAAAATTGTTAAGTGTGTCATAGAGTCCTCAGCTTGTTAAAATTACATCCTTTGATACTGGGAACGCTTGCTCCTGTGTTTAACAGTGCATACGTGAGTGACGTCCCTTATGTGTTTGCAGGAGTAAACCTATAAATGCTGATTCTCAATTTATTTATTTTTTATTTAGATAAAAAAGTCTGCAAACTAGGTCATTTTCAGCCAAGACATTTTTAAAGTAAAACAAATACTAAGTTGTAAGTAAGTTGCTTAGTCTGTAGAGCAGTGACGGTGGAAAATATTAGGCAAAAGGTAGAAGCAGCATTGACAATACAACTGTAGACTCTCAGCAAAGGTTTTGTTCAAATCTGTAAACAGCAAGACCAGCTTCTTCCTTTCTAAGCATGTTAAAAGCCCACAATGTTTAATAGGTATGTAAGATGACTGGTAAAAAAAGCTATGTAAAGCACTTCTGGAACATCCCTGATCCTGTTTTTTGATGCAAAGTGCTCAGATTGATATGTCTCAGGCCAAACCATGAATCATTTTGATTTTTAGGGCTGTACTTGGTAACAAGTAGTCCTTTTCCTTGGGATGAACGTTTATAGGGAAGGAAGGAGAATGTGAAATAGGTTGATTGAGGCTACTCCAGAGATGATAAAAATCTTTGTCCATCTTTCATAACACAAGTTATTTAAATGGGAGCCAAACTCTTAGCAAAATAAAGCAAGAAAATCTGCCCCAGTTGTGGGTGGTGAAAATTCCAGTCATATCACAGAGAGGGAGATTACACTAAATGAAAGTGAATCTTTCTAGTGCTCGCAGCCAAACAGAAAATCTGTAGTCAACTCTCCACCTTGGGAATGTGGCATTCGGTATGAAGGATTAACCTGGCACAGGAGACAGCATTCCTAGCCTCGAAGGAAAACTTGAGTGTTTTATTGTACAAAGGGATATCACTGAAAAATTTCCAGAAAGCCAAGCACGCAATTATTTTTTGTGCTTTCTCTGTGGAGAAAGGCAAACTTTGTAGTCCTGTCCCTGAAACGAGTGGCATAAATACATGTCAGACTTTCTCTACTAGATGTATGTTTCGTTGCTTCTTCTAGAATAAATTGTATTTGCACAATGAAAACAAGTCTAGAGTCAGGCTAAAAAATCAGTGGTGAGACGCAATTTACAAATGAGTCCAAAAAAGAAGCTGTAAATATTCAGGCAATAACGCTGAGCTCTTTATTAGTGAGCTTGAACTGGTTTTCTCAAACTAGTGTGAGCCATCCTTGGTACGCCTGCGAGTGCCACGGCACCTTTGGACTCTCACCTGCTTACTCATGCATAGTTGACTTTGTAGGCACTGACCACCTCTGGGTTTATCTTTCTGACAACAAATGCAAGGTGAGAGCCGTGCTGGAGCCAGAGTGTAGCAAGAATATAAGCTCTGATACATGACAGGGTTGTCCCAGTTTGCAGAGCCCTCTGAACCATGATGAGCCATGGGCAAATGATGGCTAATGTACCTGAGTACGTTTTCTGCTGTCCATTGAGGCTGCTTCACCAAGCACGCACAGGCATGCCTTCTGCCCACGGCTGTTGAGAAAAACAATGTGCTGGTTTAAACCAACTGTGTGATTTAAGATAGTGGTTTAATTGTGACAGAAGTTTAAGCCTGTGTATGCCAGCTCTAGCAGGGCAGGATTGTGGCACAGCTGACAAGCGGTAACTCTTTAAGCCTTGGTAACTCCGTGCTTCTGATCTCCCTTCCATAGTCCATCTGTACAGTTGCAAATAGGAGCTGAACTGTGTGAGCTAAACTTGCTTTTGTGAGGTGTGGAGTAGTCCCTTTTATGTCCCTTTGACTGACAAAGGAGCCTACATAGGGTATGGTCGTGCTTCCTGCTGCTTAGTAACGCAAGCCAGCATAACTCAGCTGCCTTTTTCACTCTTACAAACACATAGGGAGAAGTTGAAATCAGGCCCCTCCTTTAATTTACACTCTTCCTTTAAGCCATCCTCTGTCTACTCGTAATAAATTACACCAGTCGAGACTTGTTCATGCAAGGAGGCGCATGTAGGTCTGATCTGTCTGTAAACTTGCTTCCAGAGCCTGTCAGTGTCAGCTGTAACATCTCAGCTAGTAGAAATAGTCTCTGTAGTGACACGAAATTGCCTTCCCAAATGCCCTTCCCAATTCCAGCAAATGCACTTAGAAGGTGTGCCTCCAACTGAAATAATCAAGAGCCTTGAAATTGGTTGGATTGTTTTTTCTTCCTTGCGGGTTGTGAGCACCAAAGTGAGATGTATGTTTAGGCAACTAGATCCATTTTGAGATTGATACAAATACACCCATATTTTCAAACGGGCTGAATAAATGTAACTCAAATAAATTCACTGGCATTTCTAAATCCTTGTAAATTGAAAATCCATCCACACTCATTTGGTGGCCTAATCTAGATTTAGAACGGTGGATATATTCCATCACTAATAGAACTAAGTAGCCTTTCTGAGGTTTTGATCTGACATATAAACCAGCTTAATTGGTTAAACCTGGTATGTAGGAAGACTAATTCGGGAGTGGTAAAAATTTTTAAGCGACAACGCTTAGTTCATGTGAAGTAACCTCATCATAGGTACAGCTGATCTTTTACACTGATGGACTCACAGCATCAGTGTCTTGAATTTAGATGTTAAATATCCCGGTTGAAATTAGTCCAAAAATCCGATGTTGTTGCCCAGCCTGCAGGATTTACTTGCACCTTAGTTGGGAGTAGTGGGAGTAGTAGCTGTAAGTGGCATTAATCACACAAAAGCCTTCTGTGAAAATGATATGTTGATAAAGTACCTGATGAGATGTGTGTAAAATAGGGCTGTTGTCTTGCATTTTGATGTGTTATTGTTGTGCACACAGCAAAACTATAACCCAGAGCAAAAGTGAGGGTAGAAAGAGTTTCTTCTGGATTTCTTCTCTCAGAGTAGGGGGTTTCGACTTCCTATGACAGCATTTTTGGTGAGAGAAGATATCAACAGTACATTTTTAATTCATAACTTCCTTTGCATTGTAAGGCAACCGCATCAGTGGTACTGAGTGTGTTGTCCTAACCCAGAACCCATTCAATGGTTTTAAAGTATACAGGGAAACCAAGTTGGGGCATGCATCACTGCATGCATCTTGCACAAACATACTTTTCTGTGTGCTAGCAGAAAAATATTGTCTTAGGAAGTAGATTCAGATTTTTTTTTAAATGTGTTATTCGGCACGAATTTTCATGGTTTGAAGTATGTGGGGAAGAGAATTTCCAGCAGTGGAAATGTCAACTGCAGAATATAAAACAGTCGTGTCCATTCCTGTATTCTAGCTACTGTAGTCTGGGAGACCTGCTGAAGCCTGTCATCTCATCCCCCTAATAATATGATGTCTGTGACAGTATTCTGCAGGGGTGGCTGTGTTCCTGAGTGCTTCTCAAGAAAAGGATAGTCTGGGCCGTGTTGTCTAAGGGTCTCTGCTAGGTCAGACCTAGGCCAAGCAGCAGGAAAGTCCTCGGAACCGCTGCTGACTGTCGCTGATAGCACAGTGTGCAGAAATCAGCTGTGGGTATATACTCACATACTGAGCCCTGGAACCTGGTTAGCCCGTCAGAAAACCAAAATAGGGCATAAGAGATGCACTCATTTCATGCAGAGACTTACGTAGAAGTATTGTGATGCTTTTTATTCCTCAGTATGAAAGTGAAAGTTCTTCCTCTCAGTTCCCAAGAGGCCATGCCAGGGCTTATTTGAAAAACAGTAGTTCTTTGTAGACGTTTTTGCCACTAATCTGTCTTGGTTCTCTGAAAGAACTAATGGTCTCCCTGCCTTGCTTTTAGCTGGCTCACGAATATCTCTGTAGTTGTTTCAAAAGCTATAAAAATGGTTTCCACATGCGTGTTCCTTTCATGAACAAAATACACCTGCTTTGTACTTGGCTGCATGTCTGTTTGTAGTTGATTTGTATGTTAGTTCTATGTAGTTAAGGTACAGTAAAGATGTAGGCTGCCTTTCCCTTCAAAGTTTCAGCTACAGCTTAACAGCCAAACACTGTAGAAAGAGATACTACTTTAACATAGATTTAAAAGGTTCAGTAACATTTTTTTTTTTAAGAAAAGCAATAAAAAACCCACTTGAATTCTCATTCTGGATTACAGTTTGGACAACTCCTTTGCTAGAGACGATGGCAAAAATGATTCCCTTTGCTGCACCCACATGCATGCAAAATAAAAGGTTGGATCTGCAGCTTCTATAAGTGAATGCAGATCCACTGTCAGATCCTCTGTTGGCATGAGTCTGCATGACTGTTGGAGTCTGTAGAGGTACTCTGAGATTTTGTCTGGTGAACAGAAATTTTGACCAACAGAAGATGCTTAACAGCAATAAAATCCCGTGAACATGGATTTTACAAGTAGTGATGTTATTCGATTACTTCACTCATTTCAGTGTTGAAATCTCCTTAAATGATAACAAAGTCTATAAGGTGTGTTCTGAGAAGGGATTGTGGACATGAGTGTGCTCTTTCAGAGCATCCATCTGCTGTAACTCCATCTGGTTATCTCCTTGTGCTGAGGTTTGAGTGTTCAGCCTAGGGAGCAAAACCAGAATAGGTCAGCAAAGTAGTTTCCCACCACCTTACGCTAAAGCCATGACAATTGTCTTAAAAGCCTAGGGACAGAGCAATCAAGAAGATTTACAGTAAAATAGCCCATAAGTAAAAGTGTAAGTCAAGCCATCAATTTACATCTCCCCATAGCATTGCATCATTAACAAATGTTAACTGAAGGATGTCACAGAATCACAGAATAGTTAGGGTTGGAAGGAACCTCAAAGATCATCTAGTTCCAACCCCCCTGCCATGGGCAGGGACACCCTCCACTACACCAGGTTGCCCAAAGCCTCATCCAACGTGGCCTTGAACACTTCCAGGGATGGGACATCCACAACTTCTCTGGGCAACCTGTTCCAGTGCCTCACCACCCTAAATGTCAGGTTAGGATTTAAATATAGTCAAACCTAGCGGAAAGCATAGAGTTTCAGGAGGTTCTTAAAAGGACCTGCAAGAGCGAGAGAGGCGCTTGTACAAGCTGGTACAGGAGATGCAGGCGTAACCACCTGCTTTACTGGGAACTGTGCATGCTGCTGCCTTCTTACCACAGTTGTGAAGAAGCTTACGCTGTCTGTGCTGCCACTCCTGTCCTAACGAGCTTAAAGACTGTGTATCTGTACTGACCAATCTGTTTACAGAGGTGCAAGGTGGTGGGAGGGGGGGAAGAGATGGCTGTGCTCTCATTGATGCCTAGAGGGAAATTTTGTGTAACCAATGATGATGTTAATGGGAGTTTACCCGTATAAATCATCTCATACATCAATGGGAGAAGAGGCCACGAGCTGCTTGGGACTTCTGTTTCTGGCACATAACAATGCAATTCTGTATAGTCCAAGCCGCACAAAAATAAAACCAGGATTTTGCCAATAACGAGCCATGGAAATACTGGCTTCCAGGAGGCTGACCCAGTAGCAGAAGCCTCCTTAAAGTCCGTAAGAGTTTTGCTACTGAACTTGTGGTTGCAAGCACACAGTCTATGTTGGCAATGTCTAGTTAATATTGGTATGCAGCATGTCTGCTTATAAAATGACCAGTATTTTTGTGCGTCCCTGGTACTTTTCAAAGAAAAGACATTTTATACAGAATTGCAATACTGCTTTAATTCTGCTATGCAAGAAAAAAATGAGGTTTTGCTATTTTTATTCAGTAGTTTGGTGGTTTCTTTTCTCAGTTTAGAAGCTTTATGACTTTACTATGTTAAAGATACAGTATCCTTTTCTACTTGCCCTCTGCATCCCTCCTACACTTCATGCATAGAAAAATAATTTTGCAGTCCAGTTTTTCCCGAGTAACTCCCAATAGTAACATGATTTGACCATTTACAACTGTAGTGTATTTGTATTTGGAGCTTCTTTCAGAGCCCAGCAACAACTTGGGGAGCCTCCCTCCACTGTAACAAATGCTGAGGGATTTTCTGGTTAAAACTAATTTAAACCAATATAAGTTGCAATCATAACAAACTCTTAAGTGTTGGTCACATACCTCTTAAATTACAAAGAGCTGCTGTTGCTTAAGTCTCAGTCTCTTATAATAAGGCTATGTAGCCTAACAAGCTGTGCTGCTAACGTTAATTTTATTGGCAAATGAAGTTAAAATAAGCCTGAAACATAAATCTATATTTCCATTTTATGTAACCTTTGTAGCGTATCTAGTTTCATATGTTAGTAAAAGCCGAAAAGGTCTCTGAGCCTTAGTTTTAATTTAGATGACATTCAAAATTTAAACATAATAAAAATGACCAGTAAAATTAATATGCCAGCATGTTTATTGGTTGCAGATGTTCAGATGCTTATAAATGGGTGTAATTTTAATTACTCTCAAGTTAGCACCCAGATGCTAACCCTTTATGTGTGCTCTGTGGAGATGCAACATTAAAAATATATACCTATATTTAAATGAAAGGATACTGTCTCTTTAAGAAAAGCATTTATGTTCTGTTGATGGAAACATTGAAACCGTGAAACATGAGAATTTTTACAAGTATGTACCATATGAAAAATGACAAAAGTGTGGCTCCTTAGTTGATTGAATAAGAATAGCATCACGTCATTACATGTAATTACTCTGATGTATCAGAATGTGTTTTTTAAAATCTCATAATGAAATACTGATGTAAGGTATTTCCATTTTTAAATGTGTACCAGATTTTTTTTTTATTTCAGAAAAGCTCTGAATGTTGAATGTGTGTAAGTCTCCAGGAATGTAACAAGTTGATAAAAGCCCCAGCCAAGTCCATCCTCCTTACAGAAAAAAAAAGCTGGAATTTCTTTTTTTGGATATTTGTTTTGCAGCTTTCTACGTCTTAAGGCAGAGAATAGCCAGCCTAAGGTGCCAGCCCAAAGGTTAGCTGAACATATTTCTTGAAATAATTTTGGCAAGGTTATGACTTGGAGTTATGGCCTCTAAGTTGTAAGTTTACATGAAAACTATAATAAGTGACAAGAAGATGTAGATGTTCTTTTGTTTTTTTTTTTTTCCTTTTTAAACATTTGGGGAAGATGAGGGGGGAATGAAATTAACAGGGCTGTTTTATCCCAGTCGTCTATCCAATGAGATACTTATTTTCTAAACTACTGCACTTTTCCCTTTTCACCCTTTTCCTTTTTCTTTATTTTACTCTCAAGCCCCAGGCAATATATTTTCCTTCCTCCAAGTTGTTTATACTCCCAGCATCGTATTTACAAGCTGTCAGACTTAGGAGACCTAATCTGCTTTCACAGTATCAAGTCATAGAATCATAGAATGGTTAGGGCTGGAAGGGACCTCAAAGATCATCCAGCTCCAACCCCCTGCCATGTGCAGTGGGAGGTTAGTTTGGGGTGGTTGAAGCACTTATTGCCTCCCTGTTGCCTGTTTCGTACCTCTGCTACAGGTTGTCGTTCCCAAAACAGGGAGATTCACAGCCCCGGGTCTACAGCAGTGAACAACCTGGCATGTTAAAGCCGAATGAAGTCACCACTGGTTTGCATTGGTACCCAGGGCTGTGGTCTGCTGCTGCTCTGGGATTTATATGTCCTGTTTCCTTATCCCTGCGGCGGGAGTACCCACGTAGAGAAAGGGGAGCAGCGCCGTCGCTGTGCGTGTCTGGGAAAGCCAGCTCTGTTACTGCGGGGCAGAAGTAACCCTGCTGAAGGCAGCGGGTGTTGGAGTCCAATAAATGAAACGGCAATAAGGCCCAGTTTGTTTTCTACCACCACACAGAGACGCTCGTGCTAGCCTGCTTCTGCCTGCTGGAATTCAGCAGAGACACAGAAGGGTTTGGGTGGAATTCAGTAGAGACACAGAAAGGTTTGGGTAACAAACAGGCATTTGAGATGATAGGGCACCATTCTTTAAGCAACTATCATGAGCCACTTGAAATGCAAACGTGAAAAGTTTGACAAAGCATGAAATATTTCTTGCTTTTCTAATTTTGCATTGTGTTAGATCAAATTTTCACTGGTTTTTAAAAACAGTATTTAAGTGTATAAGCATTAGATTAACTTTTACAGACTTCATTAAATCCTGTTGTCATTGTTACCCATGCTGAAGTTACACATGCTTTTAAGTGCTGGTCTGAATAGCAAAGCATTCGTGAACCAGGGTCTGGGTTTGTGTGTGCAGTTGAGAACCAGTTTGGCAGCAGTCATGGGCCAGCAAAGACTTCACTGCATGGGACAGCCCACACTGGTTGCAGTTCGTCACGTTAAGGTGCCGTTACCAGAATCATAGGTGCAAACTGAGTAACTGATTTACCCAGGCAAATGTAGTAGTTGTGCATGAAAAATTAGGGACCGCTTACTTAATGGAACTTTGGTTTTAGATGAAAGCTTAAGCATACGTTTTGAGAACATTTGTCAAAAATCTTGAACATTACAAATAATTGCAAGTAATTTGTGAAAAAAACTTCAGGCATTAGATGCGACTGATTTATCTGATAATATTGTCATCTCTAGTTACAGAAGTTGGTCAAGGACATTTATTTTCCTTCAAAAAACAGGCTAAGGAATGTTTTGCATATGAAATTACCTGAAAATTCATATCCAGGTGCCCTAGTCAGGCTTACTAAGCTCTGCAGAGATATATTCTGTGACTGCTAGTACACCTATTTGGGAAGCAAAGTTATTTTTTCAGAAGTAATTCTGTAATGTGAGTTATGGGTATGACATGTTTTTACCACCTACTGGTAACTGTGTGGTAAGTTAAGCTTTATGCATTCTCCTGCATTTCTGTGTAGTTGAACAAAAAAGAAATGTGTAACTCTGAAAGAGCTGCAGTGATTTATTTTACAAATTAGCTCATACTTTAAGGATCCTGGATCAAAATTACTGTGAATAAGGCAGATTTATTTTCCTGAGTTTGTGTTTATGCAATTGCATAATCCGCAAAGAATTGTGAAAAGTGAATAGAAAGAGACAGACATGAGCTGAAGATGGCTTTGAGGAACAGAAGTGTAGAACTTGAGGTCTGTTAGCACAGCAGCATAAAGGGAGCCAGTTTCAGGTGAAGGAGGAAGCAGAGAGGAAAGCTTCTTTTGCCAACATGCAAATCTTGTTATAAAGTTGGCACTGGGGGAATGTAAGTAGCTATCTCTAAGATTGGAAGTCTGTTCTGCATTCAGCAGTGTAAGAGGATCCCGTAAAGGTTTGTGAAGCTGAATAGTATGTAATCATCTCTGGGCGGACGCACAAATTACTTTCTGTGTTTGAGCAAACTGAATTTTAAGGAGCTGGGATTGAAAGTCAGAATAAATAAGGGTCTATATGTTACTTGGGAAGAGAGGGCAGGAGCAAGACTGTTCAGGCAGATGGTCAGCATAGTTTGTTTCAGATGCAGGTATTCTTATACATGTTTTTAGACTTGATAGAGGTGAAAGTAGAAGTTCAAGGACAGGTTGGAGATCCGCAGTCTGGTGTTTTGAGGCAAAATTGAGGGGATACAGAAAGAGCAATTAAAGACTTTGAGGGCAATTTCTCTCAATGAAAACCCTCTTATGGGCGTCACACAAGAAAGAAGATGCAAGAAATAAGAAACAACTATTAAGGAACAGAAATTAAGAGGCAAAGCAGAGAGAAAGAATGGAAACATTATACACAGAATTATACTCAAGGCTGTTTTGATGAAAGACGTAGTGTGTTGGAAAACCAAAGATGAGTTAAATTGGTAGAGATACTCCACTAAGAAAGCTCAGGGATTTCCATTGTTGGCCACAAATGAAGAGGAGTTAGGCAGGTGGGAACCAGGCAGTGCAACCGTCTAGTTAGGACTCCACCAAACAGTGTTTGGGAATCAAGAAATAAATTATTAACGTTAAAATGCTAGATGAGAAGGAATAGAGGGGACAGCACGTGGTAGTCACCCATGCCCTCAAAAGGTGGGTGGCTCAGTGCAGAGGAACTGACAAAACTTCTAAAGCAGTTCTGAGGGAACTGTGTGCAGAGAGAAAATACTGCTGAAATTTAATTAAACACCAACATTATAGACCCATAATGAACTGATTGAGAGTGTTTTTCATTTATTGTATTTATGCAACAGTTAAAAAATAGTAATTCAGAATGACTGAGTTGTGCTTAGACACCACCGGCAGCTAGTAGTGGCTGGGAAGACTGGTGGCTTCTGGCTTTTACACAAACATGACACATGCTAACAGCATGTGCGTTTTACCTGAAATTCTTTTTCCCTTTCTCCTACACTTGGAAAAAACCCCAACCCTAAAGCCAAACCACTCATTCATGTTTCGGTTCCTTGAGTTATTTTTACAGGAAGTTCAATTTGTCCTGAAAAGAGACTTAAAATGTGGTTTTTATCTTATTTTGGAGGAAAATTTTATCTTATTTTATCTTATTTCTACCAACCTTTAGAATAGGTACTCTGTTAGATTTATGGCCAAATAAAAAAGGCTTTAGGATGCCTCCTTGACTCCATTGAAGTTGATGGGAAGTGAGAAAGAGCAAGTCTTCACATCTGGCCCAAAAAACCATTTTAAAATTATCAAGCTGAAATGAATGATCATGAGACCAGAGTTTATTTGCTGATATCTCTTGAATGAATTGGGCAATAAAATGAAATGGAAAGTTCAGTTGTAGTTTATTCTATGGCTTATGTAAATAAGCAGCAGTTGACTGGAGATGAAAGTAGCTGTGCTTAGGATTTCTTTTGTTGAAGTTTTTACTTCTTTTTGGCAACCTTTTCAGACTCTTATCTTCTGGACTTTATTTCCCTAAGCGTGTAAGAGAGCGACCTTTTCAGCCTGGTGTAACTCTCCACTGCCTACATTTCCAGCTTGCATGGTAGGGAGGTCAGTGTTACGTAGCAGATGGAAGTCCACGGACGTGGCTTATTTCAGTCATTGTAAATGTGAGTTGATTGGAGGGAAATGATATTCTCGTAGTTGTTGTGGTCAGTTGTGGGGGAAATTTTTTGTCGTCAAGAGGCACAGTATATTAGTTGGGAGACTTTTTTCCCCGACTACTTATGAGTCTAATTGTGTTTAAAAAAAATGGATAAACGCCATGTATTTGTGTGTGAGCAGAGCAAGTGAAATATAATATTCTATTCTGTTCCGTTCTGTTCTATTCTGTTCTGTTCTGTTCCATTCCATTCTGTTCGTTCCATTTCGTTCCATTTCATTCCATTCTGTTCTGTTCTATTCTATCTGGAATTTTGCAAGAAAATAAATAGAGAGAAAAATTCAAAGAAAAAATCCAGTCACATCAGCATACGTAGTGTATACCTAGGCTCTACCAAACAGCCGAAATAATTGTCTGCTATAAAAAGAAATGCTGAAAGTCCGGCTCAAGCTCATTTTTATACCTGGATCTCGTTGTTGACGGTTCAGATGGAACCCTTCTGGAGCCAGCGAGTGTATCTCTGCTGCCATGCCAGGGCAGCTCCTCCTTTGGCGGGGAGGCCAGGTGAGAAGGGAAGATTTGCAGGCTGCAGGTGGCAGAGCCTGGGCTAGCCCATCTCTCTGGGCTTGGTGACTCCTGTAGAGGCCAGTGGGAAGGGCATAATGGATGTTGCTGGTGGAAGCCCAGCCGGATACACAGGCTTGGCTAAATGCCGTCTGCTGCTGAAGTCCTGAGCACTGTGTAAAGCCCCGTTCAAGTTAATGGGAGGATATAGAACTTGCTTGGTAGGTGGCTTGATTCCCAGTAGGGAATGCTGTGGAATGTGTCTGTGGTGTTGGCTGAGCTACAGATGTTGTGAAGCTTACTGCAAAGTGCTTTCCTCTTGTGTATAGAAATTCTTCAGTTGTAGCATCGTATTGAATTTCAGCAGCTGTGTGTAAGTAAGATGCATAATATTTCAGTAACCAACGTGCACAGGATGTACTCTAATATAAACAGGACTTCTTCAAATACAGTGTTTGTCAGTAAATGTAGGTTTTCAAATACCTGTTTAGTGTGAAAAAAAAGCATTTTCTGATGCCTGACTTTATGGAGAGTGGTTTGCTAATCATTAGGAAACTTTCCTTGTGGTAGTAGAAATTCTTGGGCTGTCGGCAGCTGAGGCACTGAGGTCTCTTTTAACTGAGACTTTTAAAAACACAGAAGAGAGATATCTGTCGTGTGATTTAAGTGCATTTCTTAATTATATCTTGAGTCTAGGAGGTAACCTAGATCAGGAGTTACCCACCTGTGTGTCATACAAGACATTAAATACTGCAGGTGTACTATGGAGCTAAGTTTTTTGAGATGTATTGGAGAAGATGATCTCTTGAAGATCCCACAGATCCCATTGCTTGGTTTAATAACATGACCTATGTGACGTGTTTCATATCTGTAGACAGTTGTATATCATTTGTTTTAAACAAATGCTCATAATTTTTGTTTCTAGTACCTAGTTTGACCTATTTGGTTAACTGAGTTAAGCAGAACATCTGCTTCTTAATACAAATGTGTTTGACCTTCTGAATTAGAAGAACGTTTTCATTTCTAAATGAAATGAAAATGTCATTAATTTAATTACTGAATTTTACAAGGCTTTCATCTTCAAGTATGAGATCTTTTTTTTCCTCTATCTGAGCTGCTGCTATTTCACAATCTGTGTGATCGAGGGAGAGACCAAGACTTTTAAAGTCAGCTAACTAAAGTTGCCACAGGTTGAGCTACTGAACTGTAACACTTCACACCAAGCCGACCCCTGGTGCTTTTATGTTTTTTCAAGAGTAAATTGTCACCTAACTGTGTCCCACTCCACAATATAGATTTTCTCTGAAGTGCAGTTGAAATTTCATGGAAGCTTCCAAAAACATATAGTCATCTCTGTTTCTCTCATGTAGTTTAGATCACATCTTTTTCTTTTTCCTAGGTGACTTCAAAGTCATGAAGTTGGTCTTCATAGTCTTCGTTTTGCCACTGTTGCCTCTCATTAGGCTTGGGTCTATGATGTCAGGAAGATAAGGGTCTCGGTGTCTAAATGCACAAAGGAGATTTTTTTACTGTTTATGACCACAGTGATTAAAAAAGTAGTAATTGCTTCCAAGTACAATGTTCTAGAAGTTTTTCAGGATGTATCGGTTGCTCTGATGTATCAGTCTAATCTGTCCATTACCCAAGGGTGTACTTTTTGAAACATACCTTCTAGTAGTCTAAGCATCCCCTTTCCCTAACACTTTAATTGAGAGGTGTTTCTGAACCTGAATCTCATTTCTTTGTTTCTGGACAGCGTTAATTGGAAAAAAAAATAGTAAAAATCTTGCATTAACTAGAAACACCCCTCCCTGTTGCCTTTTAAGATACTCCTTAAGACAGTTTTAGGAAAGAGACTGCACCATTGTGTTAGGAAGATCCATCAAGAGCAGTGCTGTAGATTTAAATCAAGGTTTTATGTTCTCAGGGGATATCACTGGCTATGTGTATATATATATATATATATAAAATATTTAAACAAAAAAATGCCCTGATAACAAAGGGCAAATGCAGTCCTAAAACTGGAACAAACTCCTTCTATGCGACCAGTTGCTTCTATGGATGCAGTTCGGGAGTTGCTGATTCTGGGTGCTTTGAATCTTATGGAAAAGATTTTGGAACATCAGAAATGTATTTGCATATTTCTTCCACAACAAAAAACTAATCTCTTATTTCTGTTTTGTTTAACTCATCCCTGTTGAACAGCTTGGCTAGAAGCAACACTTTTGAGTGCCTTCTGACAGACTTCTGTTAAATGACATCCTTAATACATCCAGTTTTGTGTTATAGCCTGTTGTCAGATTAATTAATATTACAGCTGGATCTAGTTAGCTTGCAATTCCAAACAATACTGTTAGTTTAGAAAATAAGCTTAAGGACAGAGTAAATAGTAAATCCTGATCACAGGGTGTTCAAGTTATGCCACCCTCTGATTTCTGTCTAATTTGTGTCCATCTTGCTTAAACAGTAAGCTCACCAGTGTCTTGTAGCTACATTTTGTCGTATGATGATAAACAACCGTTTAGAGCATAGTAAATACTTTAGTTTTCCAGTAGCTTGAAACAGTATGTTTAGTACTGGAAAGTAATAGAAAGACATTTATAATAAAGAAGACCTGGAAATGTTGTTTAAAATTTTCAGCTGTATAATGGTTTCCAGAGTTTCGCAGGATTCGTTGCAATATTCCTGTTAGCTAATCCTGCATCAGTAGAAATATATTTGTGGATGAATTCTTATATTTCTTCAAAAGCAATGCTTGTTTTATTATTGAAGTTTTAAAAGTTTGTTTTATGAATTTTATTTGTGTTATTTTGAGAGAGGTACCAAAAAATGACATCCTGACTATTATTTCTTGGCGTTCTGAATTTGTGCTACATCTGGGTAATTAGAAATTACCTGACTCTGGAAGCAGAATAGACCATAACTTCATGTTCTAAGACTGTATCTGTACAGCAGGTTGGATAATAAATGCTTGAAATGTTCTGAGTAGAAGTGACTTGGATGTGTGCAGTGATAAAGCATCGTACTACAGTTAGTGTTGCTTTTGCTTTCACCCAGTCCTTCTTCCTCCAAAAGAAAAGTAAAAGTAATTCCCATGCCAGAATGCAAACAGTTGAAAGGGAGAGATTCAGGCAAAATATTTCTTATTAAGGGGGTAAAGAGTGCTGCCTTACAGTCACAGGAAAATTGAGAATGCTGGGATCTGTGTTGCTATCAGTGAACTATAGCTTTGTTTGTGTGTCACCTATGACACTGGTGTACACGTTTTCAGTATACCTGGGGTGTATTCCAGGCTTGCCAAATTTAATGACATGAATCATAGCACATGGATACATAGAGCAAGTGAAGGCACAGTGCCTGCTTGCTGATAAGATATTAAAAAAGTTTAATATCCCAGAAACAGCACAATGTAGCTTTGTACAAAAACAGGCTAGTAATGAGTATCTCACCCATCCCTTGTGTGTTGGGGTGGTGGTTATTTTTGAAAGTGCACCTGATGTTTGAGCAGTGGTTTTTTGAAACATATGATGATGCTGAAGGGGGGAACATAAACAGTACTATTTGTTAGGTTGTTGCCCTTTGTTTCAAAATAAAGCACTGTCAGCAGTGACTGGGGTGGATGAATAATGAATATCCCTCTCTTTGCAGCTATATGCCAGCCAGGATGCAAACACGGTGAATGCGTTGGGCCAAACAAGTGTAAGTGTCACCCAGGATACACTGGAAAAACCTGCAACCAAGGTAAGAAAGTGAAGTCCAAGAAATAATTTCTTCCGGAAATCACAGTAGTATTATTGATCTCCCTCCCTCCAAATGCTGTGTACGTGCAGTTAAAGGGTAATGCACTCAGATACCAGGTCTGTTACTGCTGTAGCTGTTCTGATATTGGAACTGACGTTTGAGGAGAGTATGACATGTGCAGTGGGATAACAGAGGGGAAAAAATTGTTTTCATTCAGATTAAATCAGTAAGATGAATGTAAAGTATGTATTTACATGCTTTCCTGAATCTGAGTCAAATTAAATTTAAATCTCATGGTCAGGATTGTTGTTTCATAAAGTCACAATTTTCAAGTCTGGATAGTGAAATAATATCTATTTAATTAAAACCAATTTCACTCATGCATTCTCGTTTTTGTGTTTCTAATCCTGAACTATCTGGGTAGCAATAAACTGTAGCGCGTACTTGAGAGTTGGAAAGGTGAAGTGTTCTCTTACTGAATTATCAATACAATTTCCTTGTGGGGTTTTTTTTTGCCAAAAAATGATCTCCAAAACATGTAATAGTATAAAGATCATGGAGCATAAAACAGAATTGTAGTACATGATACATGATTTATTAGATTTTGATGCCTAAGGCATGTTTAAATATAAAGATTTTTCAGTAAGACTGTTCTTTTTCAGTTGTCTCAGCCTACAGTAAAAGTTCATACGTTTTCTGAGAGTGCTGAGAAAGTGTGATAGAAAAGTGTGACATGTAGAACTATGTCCTTGTTCAAAAACGTGCCCTGATGTTTGCTAACCTTCTTTTGACATGTTGATTTCACAGTGAATTGTTTTCTTTAAAAACAGATAAATACTTATTTTCAGATTTACTTATCCATCCCAAACTGATGCGGAAATGAATATTGTGTTTTTCGGTTTTGTTTTAAGTCTCATTTATTCTGTCATCTCTCAAATTATCCTGTCTCCTTTCCCATTTACTTTGAGTGATGTTTTAAAGGGTAGGTTGTTATGATTTTATTACTCTACACCTGTTTTTTCCAGTCTGGATCTTTTTTAGAAAACAATGTAGTGAACTAACAGTTGTTATATGTATATGTGACGGTTTTCAGATGTACTAATTACTTTAACAGTATCAAAAGAATGCTGTGCAAATTTCTGGAGGCTGCAGCCTTTATTCATTTTCCACTAAATGCTAAGGAAGGAACAAAACGTGGTGAAAAAGATTAAAGAAAACCTTTTAGGCAGTGTTGATCTAACACTTCTGTGCAGTATTGGTGACAAAGTTGCTATGGCAGATGTGTGTGAGATGCCTGCTCACAGTGGTGTCCCCAGTCTACACTGGTTCAGCTGGCTACATCTGGCTATCTATTCTATCAGATAGTGAGACCTGGGAGCTGTTCCTGGGATTGGGGTGCACGTCCTTCTGTGTGCCGATTCCACATTAGGATGAGACCTGAAGGTGCACAGTGGATGCAGAGAGAGCTTTTGCTGGGAAAAAATTCAAATTGCACAGGATAAACGTGACCTATGTTATATCTTAATGTAGGCACCTGTTCAGTCCGTGGACCTTCCTTGTTTCTGTTCTAGAGTAATAACTAGTAATAACAGAGAGTAATGGCGTTGGCAAAATAAACATTGGAGTTCCTCTGCAAAGACAGAAGTCTTTCTAGTGTGTGTGAATGCTGCTGGGCTGCGAAGTGTGTTCAGGTTTTTGGTGACAGGTGTTCTTTGAGTAAAGCCTGCTTGTCAGTGCTTGTACATCTCATCCATTCGTGGGCCTTGCGGATCAAGCCGTATTCCAGAGGCCAATCCAAGAGAAAAACCCAGCCTCGCAGCGGAACTGTGGAACCTCGACTGTATGTTGACGCCTGGATGCTTATCCTTTTCCAGCAGCACTGTGTGGCAATGGAGACCTCACTTTAGGTCACTCAGAAGTCAGGATTAGCTGATACCATCTTGTTTATTATGTTGCTACCTTCAGCGACTAAATTGCAGTGAGTTTGCACAAAAGCTGACCATGTGGTCTCCCCACAGCATTCAAATCTCCTGAGCAGCTTCAGTGTTTCCCTTCCAGCTTTTTGATCCCAGGTTTACAGCTGTAACCAGTTAAGAAAAAAGCTGAGCAACTTGAAAGAAAATACCCTGTGCCAGCTCACTCATTTATAGTCATAATAAAGGAACTAATACTTCTCTCAAAATGTGTTCATCAGAAAATTGATACCTGCTCTTCAGTAAGATCTTATGTTCATAGACAAATATGAGTGGCTGAGGTGCAAGGTGACTTTGTGTGGCTGGGAAAGGTTGTCTGTCTGCAAAGAATGTACGGCAGCTTTCCTGTAGCTTACTATCCTCTTATCCTGTTTGTTTGAGGAACATAATGCAAAAGTTTGCTACTTTCTCTTTTTGTAATGCAGTTCTTGTCAGGACTTTTTTTTTTTTTTTTTTTTTAAATGATGAAGTAATGCATATTACAAAGATCTGATCATTTGCTATGAAAATGATGATTGTTAACTTTTGCTTTTGCAGTTGTTGGTTAATCAGACTAAGTGATGTGAACAAAACTCTCTTAGGGTAATACAAATCTGCCCTCATAACGAAGTTAGACATGGTAGTGTGATGATAGAATCATAGAATCGTAAAATGGTTTGGGTTGGAAGGGACCTCAAAGATCATCTAGTTCCAACCCCCATGCCATGGGCAGGGACACCCTCCACTACACCAGGTTGCCCAGAGCCTCATCCAACCTGGCCTTGAACACTTCCAGGGATGGGGCATCTACAACTTCTCTGGGCAACCTGTTCCAGTGCCTCACCACCCTCTGAGTGAAGAACTTCTTCCTTATATCCAATCTAAATCTCCCCTCTTTCAGTTTAAATCCATTGCCTCTTGTCCTATCACTACACACCCTTGTAAAAAGTCCCTCTCCAGCTTTCCTGTAGGCCCCCTTTAGGTACTGGAAGGCTGCTATAAGATCACCCCGAAGCCTTCTCTTCTCCAGCCTGAACATTTCTGTGCAATGGTGGGTGCTGGAAAGGAAAGCTGATCTACTGTATGGTAGATAACAGTTTAATTTTTCACTTGGTTTCTGGTCCCTAGCTTTCTGTTTTTCAAAGTCTGAGTAAATTTGGTATTGTGTATTTGACCTCTGTGTTGCCTAATTCAAGTCAGCTAATAAGCAGAAGTCTGAGTGCTGGAGTCAGAAGCTAATTAAACCAGCAGAATGTATTGCATCTTCCTCAGAATAAGTGCCCCATTGTTAGGTGTGTACTGAAGTTGGTCGTTATCCAAGATCATGTGTGGTTGCCACACAGTAGTCAAAAAAGTCACATCTGGATTTACCAGCATAGCACTGTAATCCTTTCCTTTCATTCACATTTTCATTTCTTTTCTTTAAAAATTCATTTCTTGTGCTCAGCAGCCTGTACTTACGTTTTAGGCTTGCTTTCCATAGTGCTCAAAGCTGTCAGTCTGCTTTTATGTACAGTGCTGCCTTATGTTATTTTGCAATTAAGAATACTGGTTTTGCATTTACTGGTTTTGTGCAATTGTAGGCAACGTGGGAATTTAAGTGGCTGAGCAAGGAAATTCTATAGCGAGTGGACATTCCTGCAAAAAAGTTAAAGGGATCTGTTAAACTTTTTAATAGTGGTGGGCTTTGTATTTTAAATTCCAGTGTGGAGAGGAAACTTTCGCTGTTTTCTTATTTCCTCTTTTGATGTATAGACATTCATACTGAGATATCTTTATAGTTATTGCTTGAAATCCATAATTAATGAGTAACCTGACCTTTTTTAAACCAGCGTTTGTTCAAGAGGTATGTTGCTGTAGCTGACTGCTGACATTAGCCTGAACTTGTTCTTGAAAAAATAGCCCTTACTTCAGGAACAAGAAGCACACAAGCAGATAGAGTATATAAATAGCAGGAA